TTATTTCCACGGGAAACATATCGACAAGCATAATTGAATTTTTAACAGCTCTTGTTGCATAGTTAAAAAAACAAAATTGCAATAGTTGCAGGACATTGTTTGTTTCTTGCATCTAGTTATATTGTGTTCTTTGGTTTATTATTTAATTAAATAAAAATTATTTAGTGTAGTAGTACAATTAGTATACAAAAGGAGGGTTAAGTGTCATTGACAGTTAACAGTGAAAAAAAGAAGACCCAAGTAAATACTTTATTTCTTGTTTTTCATGTGTTTTCTTTATTTATTATTATAAAAGTAACCAAAATGTAAAAATTAGAAACTTTTTAAGTTAGGTAAAATAAAGAATAATAATAAAAACTTTTCATGAAACACACTTGTGAGCAGCTTGCATGTAGCCTGTGATTATGTAATTTGATAGGGTAACATAAGTTTTACATTCTCCAAGTGATTTACCAATTTTGTGGTAAGAATATTAGATCAGATAAGGTTCAAAGGGCAGTAGAACAATAAAATTTAAGTATAAACAGATGTATACTGTTATTATATTTAAGCTATTTAGGATAAACAAATATAGTTTTATGTTACAACTTAGTAATTCTAGAAAGAAAAAGGATAATTTAGATTTATTTCGATTTTCTTTTGTTGGTGGTTATGAAGTCAGTCAAATTCACCAACCTTGTGTAGAATTAGGGTGGAGAAAATAACGGATAAAATATATAGTTTTACTGGAAAAAAAACGTTTGAAGTTTATTCTGGAGGTTTTAGAGATTATACAACAAATAAGATTTTTGAGACAAAGAAAAATATTTTTAATCTTAAAATGAAAATCACTTTGCACTTGGACTAATGAAATAAAAGACCTGATATATTCAAGAACAAATCTTTTGTAAAAATACTTCATTAAAAAATCTGATTTTTTTGTACAAAATAATATTTACTGAAACTGTGCTAAGTTTTGTGAAGATACATACATACACTGTATTAAAAGTTATAGTATAGAAACTATAACGAGTACAAGATGATTACAAACTTGGGCAGTTTGACCAATCTTGTGGCGAGAGTTAGTTTGGTAAAATCTTTATGACCATATGAGGTTGGATAAGTACTAGGAAAAGTCACAAGTAATAAATAGTACTGCTATGTGGTTGATGGTCATTGACAAAGAGGCTTTATCATCAGGGGCTGTGAGAAACATATACAGTATATGAAAAACTTATCAGTTTCAGACGAGAAGGAGATTTCTATGAAAATATAAAAAATAGCAATTAATGGACTGTAAAGCAGGGAGGAGGAAGTGAATGAAAAGATGTAAATGTTGGCATGACTATAACTAATTAGGGTTATAATATAGATAAGTAAATGTTGGCATAACTATAACTAATTAGGGCTATAATATAGATAAGTGACTGTTGGCATAACTAACTAATTAGGGTTATAATATAGATAAGTAAATGTTGGCATAACTATGACTAATTAGGGTTCTAATATAGATATGTAAATGTTGGCATAACTATAACTAATTATGGTTATAATATAGGTAAGTAAATGTTGGCATAACTATAACTAATTAGGGTTATAATATAGATAAGTAAATGTTGGCATAACTATAACTAATTAGGGTTATAATATAGATAAGTAAATGTTGGCATAACTATAACTAATTAGGGTTATAATATAGCTAAGTATCTTTTTGAATTTCATTTTAATTCTAAAATGGAAATATTTGTTAATATTTCATGAAAGTTTGATTAATTCTATCCTTTTTTTTTTGAAACAAAAAGTACAACCTTTTAAATGTTCAATAACATTTTATAGCAATGCTTTATTTAAATATATTTTTTCTGGGAAGTTTTTAATTATTTCACTTTGGTTAACTAGGACCTTAATTTGGGTGTGCGAATGGCACGGATTTCAGTGGAAGGAGTAGTGGTGTTCAATGGTGAGCTTCATAAAGGCTGTGGAAATCAAGTGTTTGATTATGGACAAGTTATACCAATACAGTTAGAATCTCTACATCAAGATACAATGCAAAAATTCTTTGATATCCAACTGGAAGACACTCATCATCCTGAAACCTCATCTTCTGACACCGGAAGTCCATCCATGAAACAATCTTTTTCAGAAGGTAATAGAGAGCAAGAGTTACAAGAATTAGCAGGACATATTGAAGGCAGCAAAAATTCAACAGTAACTTCATCATCATTATCGTTTCTTCCCACATCTGGAACCTCCTGTGCTGCAGTGTGGTCAGGTATGTTAGTCAGATCTCATACTAGACTTTTTGTACCTGCATTTTTTCACAAAGCAACACAAGTCTAACTTGCATTTTTCTACCAGTCTTCTGCATTAGTTCATGATACAAACATACATACACATGTGTATATATATATATATATACACGCACGTGCATTAAATAAGCATAAGTTAATGAAATACATTACAAGTTAACCCTGAAGAATGAAAACATGAAACTAACAAAATGCATGATATAGATGCACTTGTAATGTGCACACATGCATCGTATAGTCTGTGTATGCTATGTGGTCTTAGCAAATATATTAATTTGTTTTACATCAGGTACTTCTCATAAGGTTTTCAACACTTGGTCTTCTGTCTGTTTTTATGCTGTAGTAGAAACTTATGATCACAGCTTTTATATCACTTTTCATAGGCCTAAATCTGAAGTATCTAGCTTATAGTTCAGAGGGAGGTTTCTACTTTATTTGAAGTGGACAGCTATGTTTTTCTGGTGACAAGCTGTTTAACTTTTTATACTTCCTCCATCATGGAACTGTTAACTAGTGTTTTTCCTTGCAAGAATCCTGATTTTATCTGGCTTTATAGATACAGTTCAAAGCTACAGATGTCACATTCTTCTAAATGCTGGAATTTTTTCTGCGCATGCTTTTAACTTTTAAGAATAGTACAACTTCACATTGGAAAGTCTTGTTATATAACCTTCCAAGAAAAGTTTAATTTAAACACATTCTGCACTTGCAAATCACCAAACTTCAACTGAATTACAACAAGAGAATCATGGCTTTTAACCTGTGTAGTCATAGGCTGTTGGTAAGGTGATTGAATATGCAAATTGTTGCTAGTAGCTGTGAGCTCTGTAGCTACAAAGCAGGAAGATCAAATTTAAAAACAAAAGATGAGGATAATTTCTTCTGCTGTGATATATCTCTGTAACAACTTAAAAATGTAACACTTGTTACTATAATTGAATGCATGTGTGTGTGTTTTTCATTTCAAATACTTTGTCAGTCAAAGCATTACGTACTTTTTTTAGGGGAGAGTTAATGTAGAAGATACGTTATTCGCAGAGCAAATGGAAGATTCAGTTTTAATTTCATACTTAAAGTGGCTCAAGTTTAACAACTAATAATTCATTAGCATTTGAATGATAAGTTAATTCTGCATTTAACAGTTTAATATTTAAATAAATGTAATATCATACCTGGTTTTCAGTGATGTTTAAGATTTGCATTATTATATGGCTGAACTAAAATTGTTTAGAATGTTGAGTTTTCGATACCAGGTTTTTGTTTTGTTTTATATTCTAAATCTTATGGGTGATTACTTTGTATTTATTTTCCCTGTACATGTAGAGTCGAGAAAGAGCAGTGATCCTTGTTGCAGCAGTTCTACATGCATAAATCCAAATTTAGTCTTGCCAACTAACAGTACAGATGGCAGAAACTTTAGGTATTTTTTGTGTTCTTATCTTGTAAATCCAGAAAGTTAATTGACAGAATATTCTTTCTTTCTTTTTTTTTTTAAAAAAAAAAGGAAAATCGTGTATTGATTAGTATTTCTTTATTAAGCATCTTGTAAAAACAAAAAGGTTTATAATTTTTCAAATTTTTTATCTTTAATGTTATCCATGTTAAATTTGGAACCAAGTTTGCCTGTAAAGATTTGTGATATGTTCTTTAATATTATAATGATTTCATATACCAATTTACTTTTTTCAACTGTTATGTTTGTCAAATTTTTCTTATGTTTGTGTTGCATAGATGTAGATATCGATGCTATGATGCATGATGTTAAACATACTCTTTGTTTTGAAGCAATTTATCTTATGGTCACAAAGAGGTTTCCATTATTGCTCCCCAAATTGTTTACATAAAAAAAGAAAATGAGTTTTTGACATCTCTATACTAACATTAGAGACAAACTGGATGGATTGTATCTACCTTGTTACCAGTCTTGAAATTAGTGTAGATACACTGCCAAAACTTTGTGCCATTTTAACAAATGATTCATCAGTAACAGGGTTCAAATATTGATGTAATTGATTGTACATACCTAAACAAAACAGTAAAAAAAATGTCTCTACCAAAGTGACAACCTAGTTCCTCATTTGATATTATTGAAATCATAATTTGTTAAAGATGCATTGTTTCAGAAACTTTGTTCATTCATAGTTTTGTAAAAGAAAGTTGAGAAACAACAAAAAAAAGATAATAGAAATGAATAGGAGAAAGTTACCATATGAGATCAATGACATTAATCTAGGCTTACAACTTTCAGCATTTTTGCTGTTGATCCAAGAGAGCTATCAGTACTTAGATTTTTATATGTTAATCAAAAAACAAAAAAGAACTAAATAATTGTATAACTTAAAAGTTTTTATAAGGTCAGGTTTGCCTCTGTATTTAACCACAGTCAAAATAGTTTTGTTATATTTAGTTCTATAAAGCTATGATTGATAGGTAAAGAACAGTAAAGCTATTTTCTAACAATTGTAAACTACATATAGACAGTGAATGCCTTGATGAACATTTTAATAATACAGGAGGATTAAACAACAAACCCCCCATTAAGTGCTTAGAACAACTACTCAGTGATTTAGCTTGTTTTGTATTAGTGTGCAGCTGAAAAACAGTTTTTATGCAAATTAGCAGTAAGTATGCTATAACCATTCTTGCTTGGAACAAGGTAACAGCATCCTCACACATATAATTGTACTTAAATTATTATTAGTCTCTAATACAGCCCTGATTTTACCACTAAACTATTTGCTAACAAACTGATTATTTTTGGATTAGTTATAGTTTTGTACATTACCTGAATATTGTAATTTCACAGCTGTTTTTATGTCAATTACATAGACATATGATGGATGCTAATACTTGTTTTGCATCAATTAATATTAACGTCAAATCAGTGCAAGTTACCATGCATATCAAAAATGTAAATTAACCCAGTGATGAGTATAGTTAATTAAATGTACTGTTTTTACACCTAAAGTTTAAAATGCAATGTTTAATCAGTTGAATACCCACCTATCAATGGTGAATGCCTGTATTTGCATAGCTCCAATTAATAAGAGCTTCCATAGAGCTACTTACATAGATCAAAAATGAAAAATCAACACATTAAAGAACATAGTTAATTAAATATACCATTCATACTTGTAAATAATGGAATGAATTTTTTCATCAGTTCAGTACCCTCACTATTAATGATGGATGCTGGTATTTGTTTTGCTTCAAATGATATTAACTTCCATTAGGACAGGCTACCTACTTAGATAAAAAAAAAAAAAGATAATCAATCCACTGTTACATCCATAACGGAAGGAAGAGGCTTTTTATGTAATTGATGTAATTATCATATGAAGTGCTCTGTTCGAACAAATGATTACACACGCCTGCAAATTTAAACTTCATAAAAGTTGTTTTGGTTTTAATAATGGATTTTCAATAATTCAGCTTCGCAGATTTCGAAAAATAATATTCATTTTTTTCTATCACATGAGGATTTCTTACAAATCAGGAAGAAAAAATTCTTACTCAGATCAAATTATTATTTCGTTTATCACAATGAATATTTTTTATTATTATGTTTGTTAACTAAAATACAAACAAACTGAAGAAAGGGAAGAACATTGATGTCAAACGAATATGCATCCTCATTCATCCTGTTTTTTTTGTGTGTGTGTGTGTGAAATCTACATCTTTTAGTCTCAAAACTACATATTGTGGTCTTTCTTTTATGTATTGCATTATGGCATTTTGTGAAAAATCTGTACATCATGGAGAAAAATGGATATCATTTTCGGATTCAGCTTACAGGAAGTATTGTAGAATATGTAAAAATTTCAAGACAATAAAACCATCGCAGGCCTGACAGTAACCATTGGATTTTGTGAATACCATAAAGCTTGTTGAGAACACGTATATAATTCTAGTCTGACAGATTTCTTCTGTGTCTTGTTATAGTTGTAAATATGATCAAGATGGTAAAAGAAGAGGATCATCAGAGCATGTAAGGAACCTTCCTTGGTAAGTTGAAACTTTTTTAATATATCTTTAAACCTTATAACATTTAAGGCAGTTGTAGAATGAAAATGTGACGTTATCATCTCTCAGATTTGTTGTCATATAAATTGGAGTTTTCTTAAGCGAAGATGGTTTTTACTCACCTTGAAATGTTTAACTGAGAAGTACATAAAACCCTTCCCCCAACTGATATGTAAGTAAATGCCTTTATTCTAGAAATTCAAAGATAGATTTCATATCTCTTAACATACATATTTTTATGGCTCTTCTAAAAAAAAAGGGTCTAGACTTTGAAAGTGGGGAAGGGTGGAAGAGGATTACATGGTTATTGTTTTGAGTTAACAACAACACTCACTGCTTACTGAAACTCACACCTGTTCATATTCTTATGTTGACTCCTGTTTATTAGTCTGCGAAAGACAGTTATACTTTATTTGGCCTGAATGATATCTAGTTCAACTTGTATAGTTTGTTTAATAAAAATGTGATTATAATTACCAACCTATGATTGAAATTCATCACATTGCTAAGTTGTCTTTATGTACTTACTGAATAGTTTTAAAATTCTGTATGTGCTCATACCAGAGGGTGTAATTTATATTAAAAATGGTAGCTTATCTTTAATGATTAATTTTGTATGAATTATTGAGTATGAATAATATACCTAATTTGTAGTTGTTTTGTTTTACACAGTCAAATGAATGACAGAATGGAAAGGAAACCAAAACAACTAGAATCTGTCCCAGTGTATGTTATTAGATTATATATATGTCTACAAAAGCTACAGATATGTAATGGTGAATGTGCTCAGTTTGTAACTGAATACATAATCAGAGTTATAACATTCTTCCTTTTTGTAATATAAATTAATAATTTGTTCCCTTGTTCTTAATGTTTAACCTTTGTATAATTTTTACATTTAAGGTGGTTTCACCTGATAACCAGGGAGTTATTTATTGCATTCACTTGCAGATGACAAATTAAAAAATATATTACAAATATTTGTTTAGAGTTAAATTATATTCTTGTCACACTAATAAAGATAAAGTATCAATAATTGTATTAAAAAAATTTATAAAAACCCACTTTTGTGATTAAAGCAGTAATTTTGTGAAAATAATCTAGCATTGAAAGCAAAATCAAGTCTGAAATAGTTTATTTAGCCTTATGAAAGACTACTAAATGTGAAGTCATTGTGTACCTATTCCAAGGTGCTTTTAATTTGGCCTTTATTGCTATTTGTTTGATATGGAATGTTAAAGAATATCAACTTAAGGCAAAAAATTTCTTTGACACCAACTGAAAATGGAATGATTTTAAAGTCAAAGTTATGTGATCTTGTAAAGGAAGATAGTTAAATTAAATCAAATATATTTGAATTGTCTTTTTCATATTGTGCTTTAATAATTTTTTTTATTCTGAAGGTCTAGATTACGGAGTGTTATCAAAATAACATGGTTATGGAAATGTTTGAAAAACATATTTATTGCATAATTTGTATTTTGCATTTACAGCTCTTGCAAAATTCTTTAGCCATCTGACAAGTAGATTTATACTTTTAAATTATAAGTTTTTCCTACCAAATCACATCTTTTAGAGTTAGTTTTGAACTTTATTACTGTTGCACAATATTGTTTTTGCAAGGCAAGGAGAATTATACTCATAAATAATTTGAAAAGTTTCATTTATCAGTATCAAACAAAGTATTAAACCCTAAAGTTGTGTACTGTTATTTAGAAAATTCTTGAGATAATAAATTTTGATTTTGTACATAATTAATATTAACTTCTGATCACAGTAAGCTACCTACATAGAACTCAATATGTGTTTGAATATTATGTATATATGCCTGTTAATGAGCATAGCTAATTAGAATGCATTTATTTCATCATTTGGGTACCCTCATTGTTAAAGTATTTTCAGCTGTAAACCCAATAATATATTTTTGGGTTTGGTCAGCCCAGGAGGCTTAAGTTAGTCCTAAATCCACATACTAAGCTAACAGTGCAAAATAATTATTGTATTTAAACAATATAGATAAACTAGAGATAATAAGTAAAAATAGATATATTAAATACTGTTTACACAGTAGTACAATTTTCACTTGTTTAGGCTGATGCTTATAAGCTTGAAGTGTTACTACAAATTGAATGAAGAGAGTGAAAAGAAAGGATGATACATAAGTTAGCCTTTTAAAGTATAATTATCTGTACACTGGCATTACAACCAATTATTGTTGCAAACATCTAATTGAGACTCATAGCAGGTATCCTACAACTGGTGAGAGGCAGAATCAACAGACATCAGTTGTATGTTGTTGGTCTTCCTTGCCCAATCAATTGTACCATTAGTTTTGAAACATTTCTAAATTCTGCTTATGACACTTTGAAACCCTTGTAGACAGTGATTGGTTGGTTTCAATTGATTTTATAGTTCTACACATGAGTGAAACAATCGAATGTCTTCATTGAGGTTTATCATGACTCGTGTACAATGTAACGCACTTTCGATTATGTGATTCCCTTCAAAGTAACAGCTGAAACAAAACTGTATGTATTCACTATATGTAATTTATGTTGAATGACTGATTATTTGCATTTCAAATCACATTAAAGATCATTGGAATAATTTCTGCATAATGATTTATGATGCAGATGATCATCATTACTTTATAATGGTTTTGTCATAGCTATAACATCACAAATTCTGGTTAGTTTTTAATTGTTTTATGCATTATACAGATATGGCTTTAAATTTTGTAGTGGATGTACAACATATCTTTACTTTTTCATCTTGTTTTCAGTAAGCCAGCATTTGGAAAAGTTGGAATAGCTAGTAATGATAAGCCTAGCTGGTTGCAAACTTCAGAATCTAATGAAGGTACTGAATTTTGTTAATGCTATTGTGTCACTTCATTATAGTTAATTTCTGATCTCCCTAATCTAGTTTTAATGTTAGGTATAAAAAGCCTTTTCAATTAATTTTTAACCCATTAGGAAACTTGCAAGACTTGGCTATTACAGTCAAACCTCGATCATCCAGACTTTTCTCTCTAGTTCCAGTTTTTTGCAAATATTAATAAACCATGAAAACTTCTAGCAGTAAAAAGGTAATCATCCGTACAAAATATCGTTTATCTTCTATTTAATTTTGCATTGAAAATTGATTGAAAATGTCAGCGGAGAGCAAGTGGCACATACATGCATTCAGCTACATTCTGATTGGCTTAACAGTTTTTGTTGCTATGGGAAATGTCACGCATGATTACATAGTTCAGTTGGCATTGGTTGTGTAAACACAAATGTAAACTCCAAAATATAAAACAACTATGTCTACAAAGTGAAACGATCAGTTCTCTCGATTAAATACAAGCAATCAATTATTTCACATTTAGAGAAAAACAGAACAAATTTAGCACTTGAATATTACATCAGCAAGCAACAGATCTCTGATATATGAAAGAACAAAGACAAGATCACGAAATTCACCAACAACTCTGAGACAAGGACTGCGATGAAAGTTCTTGAAGGTTGCAAACGATGAACAACTGGATAAAGTCTTGTATTCTTGGTTTATTCAGCAAAGATTGAATGGGACACCAGTTTCAGACCCCATTTTTCAAGAGAAAGTCAAACATTTCTCCAATCAGTTGAATTCCAATGAGATGGATGATCGTGAAACCTTTAAAGCATTGGCAGAATGGTTAGAAAATTTTAAATGTCAACACGGCATAAGGAACCTCAGCATTCAAGGTGAAAGTCTTTTAGTGGCAGAAGAAAGTTTTGAACCTTTTTTACAGAGGCTGCACAAGATGACTGAGGAAAAACGTTTGACCCCAAAACAAATCTACAATGCTGACAAGACTGGACTTTTGTGGAAATCTTTACCACAAAGAACCCTCATTTCATGCCGTGAGAAGTCTGTGCCCGGATTAAAAAAATCAAAGGATTGCTTAACTGTGCTTGGACATATGAATGCCTCTGGAACTCACAAACTAAAACCTGTTCCAATTGGAAAATTTGTGAAACTGAAATGTTTCAAGAGTGTAAATATGAATGTCGTCTCTGTAATCTACAAATCTCAAAAAATGCATGGATGAACTCAGATATTTTTGCTGAGTGTTTTAGGAAAGAATTTGTACCTGCAGGTAAACACCACCAACGTTCTCAAAACATCAGCTCCCAAAAAACTCTTGCTAATCGACAATTGTTCTGCCCATCCTGATGAGCTCAGAAGTCATGATGGTTCTGTTACACATGTTTCTTTCTCCTAACATGACTTCTCTAATTCGGCCAATGAATCAAGGAGTTCTTCAAGCAATGAACAACCGATATAAGAGAAAGCTCCTCCAGAAAATAATTTGTGATCATAACCTTAAACCAGCACAGAGTCTCCAAGAAATTGTAAAGCTACACACCTTAAAATATGTGCTTTACATGCTGTCTGATGCTTGTGAATAGGCAAGGCCCAAATCAGTATTCAAAGCTTTCAAGAATATGCAAATCCATCCTGATAACAACCAGCCAAATGTACAACAAGAATCAGAAAATGACTCAGCTGAAACCATGAGGAAAAGAAATGCCAAACAAAGTAGTGAACGATGAAGGACTCACTACTTCTGATGTAGAAGACTGACTCAATGCCAAAAATGAACTCCCAACTATGCTACAGATGTCAGATAAACAAATCTTAGCTGCCTTTATTGGAAATTCTGAGGAAGATATTGAAAGTAGCAACGAGGAAGATGAGGATCAACTTGGTGAGAAGACAGTATCAAACTCGGAAGCAGTAGATGCTTTCAAAACGTGCTTGTCTTGGGTGAAAAGGCAAACATTGTTGAACCTGTTCAAATTATGCAGTTCAGATGAATTATGGACTTTGCTATGCAATCAAAGTGCCATTCACTGAAGCAAACTAAAATGCTTCAGTATTTCAGACTTCTGTAGTCAACTGAGGATGGTTTTACACTTTTCATTGTTTTGTTGTTAAAGCTCTGTTTTGTCATAGGACCATTATGGAATTGGAGATGTGTTCCTACAGAAAAACATTTGAATTCAAGACATAATAAAAACACACTTAAGAACAAAGAAAACTTGTTTTAAACACTTATTTAATATAAATTTGATAGTGTTATAATAAAATATTAATATTATTAAAAATAAGGCATAGAAAATAAAATTATATATAATATTTCAACAGTTACCAGAGATTGTGGTTATTGCTGTGTGAGGTAATTTTACAAGGAAATCTAGGGGAGTTACTGGGAGGGAGAGGCAGTAGGCCTCACCCTCTGAGTAATCTTTTTTCAACTGCAGGCAATGTAGAAAAAACAACAATAAAATGGACCAACAGTATTATTGACTATTTACAAATGGTAATCCTAGAGGCAAGTTAATAAGATTAAAACATAATTCGTGAAGCAAGAATAACGTTACTGTTTTATAACAAAAAATCTCTCACCATAGATCAGAGAGATTAATCAGCTACCAGAGTTTAAAATTTCTAAGTTAAAGATTCAAATATTATATAAAGATTCATGTATTAGGGTATCAGAAAATTAATGCAAGTTTTTTAATAAAAAAATGTTTTTTTAAAGTAACAAATAGTTTGCCAAAAATTATTTCATAAAATACCTATAGATTTTTTTCACAAACATACTAGTACGTAGATATGTAGAAATGAATGATTTGGTATGTATTTGCAGAACCAGTAACTAATGTTTAGCTTTAGATCTACATGATCAGCACAAGTTTCAACACTAGTTAAAGAATAATATAAATAGTATTTGGTATGTTAATTTTATTTTTCAATAAGAAATTTCCCTGTGAATTTCATTTGCAAATAACATAGAAGGACACTCAGAGAAACATGGCTAGGTGGTTAGGCCACTCGACTCGCAATCTGAGGGTCGCGGGTTCGAATCCCCGTCACACCAAACATGCTTGCCCTTTCAGCCGTGGGGGCATTATAATGTGACAGTCAGTCCCACTATTCATTGGTAAAAGAGTAGCCCAAGAGTTGGCGGTGGGTGATGATAACTAGCTGCCTTCCCTCTAGTCTTACACTACTAAATTAGAGATGGCTAGTGCAGATAGCCCTCGTGTAGCTTTACACGAAATTCAAAAGAAACAGAAAAACGTTGTGATTTTATCAAACTATCCTAAGTATTTATTTTGGAAATGTGTGACATATATAGGTTCAATTACACAAAACATGACATTTTAAATATTACTTCTTTATAAAAACAAATATTGAAGGATTATGTTTTTATAAAATTGGAAAAAAAGTCAGTTCTAATTTAGAGAAATTTGTATAGTACTTATATTCTTGTGCATTATTTTAGAGTTGTTTCTGGAAAGCCATAAAAGCAATCACTCTAGCAGTAGTTATCCAGCTCGTAGGGTCAGCATGGAATCTCTTAACCTTCTGGACAACAGAAAGCAAGTAGTTCCCCTTAAGAATTTCTGATTTGTTTTTAATATATCATCATTTTGAACACATGTTATTACAGAGATTTAAAAGACTGCTATAAAAAAATATTTAATGTAATTACAGTATCATAACGATATAATTCACATTTCTGGTAATTATACATAATTGGGTAGAAGAAGTTATTTTAATTTTCAAGTGAAACCATGAGTAAAGAGTATGAGTACTGTAAAGACTTACATGTTACAAGGAAATACGTTAGTATATATTTTATCAAAAAAATTATCTTTTCTGAAACACTGGCACAGGCTTATGTTAAAACAATAAGTTTAATTTGTTATGAGGATAGATGATCATTGTATGAATGCATCCAACAGGTGGTGTTACTGATATGCATGTTTAAATTAATGTTAAAAAAAGTGAAATATGTATTTTTGTATTCATAGAGCTTCTAATCGTCAGGTCATTATGCTGTGGTATATATATATATATATATATATATATATA